ACATGCATACAAGCTGCCCATCCTTCAACCGATTCTGGGTGGCTCCCAAACTTGTTTTCATCTGAAGATAAACACCTTACGAGGAAATACTGGGACTTTTTCAGGTAAAGGAAGAAAGACAACAGAGATGCCTTAGTTGTGGGCCTATCATAGCTGCGGAAGAACTATTATACAGACTGAATGCAAACTTAGCAACAATGAACCTTTAGGACTAAGTCAAACCACCCCAAAGGCCACTATTGACTGAAGGTTTCTATTATGGCCAGCTAGGGTTGAAATCAACTACTAGTGAGACCTAGATGAAGCATCCTCCATGTTTCTCCTGTTGCCTTTCTTCACAGGGCAGCTGGTCCTGTATGTCTCTGGGAGGAGGAGGAGGAGGAGGAGGAGGAGGAGGAGGAGGACATGCCATGCCTGTTAGGAGCAGCAGAGGTGCCTCATTCTGCACCACATATCATCTTCCCAGGTGTCTTGAATACACGTAGTCCTCGTGTATTCCAACAGTTCATTTAGGGACCCTTCAAAGTTACAATGGCATTGAAAAAAGGGACTTATGACTGTTTTTCACACTTCATGACTGCTGCAGCATCCCCGTGGTCACATGATCAAAATTCAGACGCTTGGCCACCGACTCATGTTTATGACGGTTGCTGTGTCCCGGGGTCACGTGATCCCCGTTTGCGATCTTCTGACAAGCAAAGTCAGCGGGGAAGCCAGATTCACTTAACAACAATGTTATTAACAACTGCAGTGATTCACTTAACAACTGTGGCAAGGAAGGTCGTAAAATGGGGCAAAACTCACTTCACAAATGTTTCAGTTAGCAACATAAATTTTGGGCTCAACTGTGGTCATAAGTCGAGGACTACCTGTAACTGAGCTGGTTTGGAATACTGGGAATTACAATCTCAACATATCTGGAGAATATCAAATGGAGAATATTAGATTAGCCTTTCTGTGAAAGTACAGGTTGTCCTCGACTTACAACCATTCATTCAGTGACTGTCTGAAGTTATAACAACATTGAAAAAAAGTGACTGATGACCATTTTTCACACTTACAACCATTGAAGTATCTCCTTGATCAAAATTCAGGTGCTTGGAAACTGGCATGTAATTATGACTGTTGCAGTATCCCCAAGGTCATGTGATCCCCTTTTGCAATTTTCTGATGAGCAAAGTCAATGGGGAAGCCAGGTTCACTTAACAATTCACTTAAGGGTACTAACTTAACAACTGCAGTTATTCACTTAGCAACCGTGGCAATAAAGTTCATAAAATGGAGTAAAATTCTTCGCTCATCTGTCATGGTTCCGAAAGAAGCAGCTTTTCAAAGAACTTTGAGGCTTTGTTTACCTTAAAGAATCCTTTTATTGCTACATAGCTTCGGCAGGTACATAATGAAGCCAAAAACTGAATCCTCCCTCTCCCAATCACCCGTAACAAAGCATAACTCACTCCTTCATTTAACAGTCATTAATCATGTTCCCCAATTAGTTTGAAGTGTGAACTTTCCCTCCCGTAACTCCTCTGGTTACAACTGACCTTGAAAATACTGTACTGAAATATTGTTATGGCTAACGATTCCCCAGTACATACTCCCCCCCCTATTCTAACATTGTCTGACTTTAACTTCTTCATATATGTCAAGCAAGAACATCTGATGTTAGCAGCCTTGACATCATCTTTTAGTCATCAGGAAACTATCCTAGCCTGAAACTTGCTGTCTTCATTACCAGTCCTCATCCTGTCTCTATTCTCTCCTCAGTGATTGCCAGGCAACTTAATTGTCTCTGGGTAACAGGTGACAAACCTAACAGACACTGTGAGGCTGTCTGTGTGGTCAAATATAAGAGAAAACATTCCTTTAATGATTTAATACCACAGAGTTCATGATGACCTAACCGTATGTCACTCAAAGATGGGAGATGAAATGAAAGCAATAACAAAGGACTTAGCCAAGAAAAAAGGGTTGCCAGGCCATGTTTGGCTCCTGGTTAGAGGTACCTGAGAAAGGACTACAAAGCATCTACAAGCTGTCTGAGAGGCCAGCTTTTCTATAGGAATGCCAACCATGGACATTCAAATTAATGTCTTACGGTGCATAAGGTTTAGATTAAGCTGGGGAAAGCAAGATTCAACCCCACCCTTAGCCAGGGAGACGCCTGGTTTGACATTAGCCTGTGACAATTCCATTAGCAACTCTGTTTAGAAGGCACTAGAACAGTGATGGCGAACCTTTTAGAGACCGAGTGCCCAAAAACTGGCCCTGCTCCCGCTCCGCCCCCCATCCCCACCTTGCCTGCCCATAGGGCCACTCACTGCCTCCAGGGCCCGCCGCAGATTGCCCAGGCAGCCCAGCAGCGCTATGGCGGTCACACCCTCTATCCGCGCCCTGCAGCATCAACTGTGCATGATGGGGTGTGAGGGCAGAGTCTTGTCTACATTGCCTGGCTGCCATGTCCTTGGCTGCGCTGCTCCGGGTGGGCCACGCTCAGGGGCGACTCTCCTTCAGGGGGGCTGCTGGAGAGAAGAGAGTTGTGGGGGGAGGCGAGGCTGGGGCAACGGCACGTGTGCCCACAGAGAGGGCTCCGAATGCCACCTCTGGCACTCATGCCATAGGTTTGCCACCACTGCACTAGAAGCAGCTTTCTATAAAACTCTGAGTTAGGGGCAGTGCTCAACAATATCACTGAGGGTCCAGTCCACTTACATGCCCAGCCTTATACGTAAACTCTAATGAGATTCTCCATGCCAATTTGTAGCTGCTTGTTATATAGTATAAATTCCTGCATATTTCAGGAATAAACTAAACCAGAAATATGCCTTAGCTTTTAAAATGTTGTTAACATTTCATTTATACAGCATTATTCTGATCTTTGCATAGCCATTTAATTCACTGTAGCTGAGTTTCGGTTTTCACCCAAAATGTAAAATCTGACATGGACAGAACTTACCTACAGTGAAATCTGTGTGGCCAAAATTTCTCTCAGGAAGTCAGTGGTCTGCTGCTTTGGATGTCACAGAGAAGAAATTGTCACAGCTTCCTCTAAAACAATTCTAAGAACTGTACTTTGTTCTCAATTTTAAAAATTCCCTTAATTTCCTCATCTCACTAAATATTCCAGGTTTCCTTGAGGAAATAAAATAAAAAACCATTAAGGAAAACATTGACTTTCCAATACTTTAGGACTAAGGTCAAAAGACAGCCCCACCTTCTTCAACTGAGAATGCCTCTAGCAGTTAGGCTGGAAAACGAAAAGTGGATACAACCAGACAATGTTAAGAGGTCATCTTTGGGCCTACACCGTGGCAATAGAAGTGGCAAAGCATCAGTTCTTCTCTTTACCAATTGCATCTGTGGATCACTAACTGGGGGCCCTGTTCAAAGACGAAGTCACCTAGTAAGATTTTGGAAGCCAGCCTTAAAGAACAGCCTCCTCTTGGAGATGCAGATGATCCCAACCTGTTGGTTTTCAAGAAAGTGGCAGAGATCTGGCTTTTTCCCCAGGCCCTGGGGCCGAGATATGCATGGAGCTAGTATCAAGTGGCTGATGAATGAATGAATGAATGAATGTGTGGGAAGTCAGCTCCCCAGAGAAGGACATATTAAAAGGGCAGAAAAATATATTTTCTCAAAGGACCTTAAAGAGACAGAAAAGCATGCCCAGTTTTCTTAATAGCCTCAAGTCTCCCTCCCCCAAGCAGAAACCAGCTCTGTAGAAATGCAGATGTAAATAATCCAGGAAGGCCCCCAGCTAGAAGATTAAGAAGACACCTAAAATCTACATACCCCACCCAAACTCTAAAACAGGACATAACAGGATTAACCCACAGATACCAAAGGGCACACTCAGACTCAGGTCAAAGTTCATGCCACAGGAACAACTCCAAACAAAAGACTCCAGAGGGTATAGAAACCCACTCCCTACATGTGTTTGCTCTCTTTTCGTCCAGAACCATCTTCCTGTCTGGCTCTCCTCTCCAATAAACTGCAACCTTCTTTCTAAAGCAGTTGCCATGTTGCTTATCCTCAGCTTGGACTGAACCATGATGAAGACTTTTCCTTCAATAAATGAATGAATGAATGAATATTTGATTCATATATAGAAACTGGATATCACAAAATCCATTAAGCTCCCTCTGCAAGTGGAGAATTAATAACAATCTAGCAACTGAATTACAGAGTATAATTTAGGGAGTTACAAGTAATACTAAATGTTATAAAATATAAATGGACACAGTGAAGCAGAAGTCCCAATGGGGGTCCTATGGACATGAATATATCCAACAATACCCTCCCCAGCTGTTGTCCAGGTTCCAATGGTTCCTTGTTTTATTTTGTTAAAGATGTGTTTAAATAAAAAGGAATTACATATAATTATGGGAAGATGATGTGCTGCAAAGTATATCATCAAGAATAAGCTGCATTTCTCATAACACCTTTGTGCAAGAGCTTCTGTAGCAAGCCTAGGTTCCATCAAAATCTGTTGCAAAGTCACAAGGCAAGCTGCACCCTTTTTGCAGGGGTTCTCAACCTTGGCAACTTTAAGACTTGTGGACTTCAACTCCCAGAATTCCTCAGCCAGCTTTTAATTTTATATACTGTTTTATATTTTGATGTTGTATTGTATATCACCCAGAGTTATTCTTTAAGGGAGATGGGTGGTTCAAAAATGTGAAAAATAAAGAAATCTAATACATATGAGTTCATTTTTTTCAACACATACACACTAATTTGTTTGCTTGAGTGCAATGCAGATAGACAGATGAGAGAGAGAGAGATGAGAGAAGAAATGAGAGAAAGACATATTTTGTGTGTGTGTGTGCTTTTGTGTATGCACTCCATTCTACTCAATACAACCTGCTCCTCTGGTTACTGTACAAACAATCATCCCCCTTATGTTCATGAAAGACTTCATTGTTACCATAGGAATTTCACATATGTGATGTTCCTCTTCTACAGGAGTGCTATTGGCCTATGAAGCTTTATCATCTTACCTTCATCCATCGCAGGTTCCACACTACTATAGCAGAAATCAATAGTAAGTCAGGCCTTTAGAAGGAGTGCCCCTAGCTTTCCCCACTTCAGGCCTTTGGTTGTATGGTAAGAGAAGAGGACAAACCCCACAATTCATATTCAGTCATTTCAGGGGCAGAACAAAAACATTTTGGTTTAACTCAACAGGAACAGGCTTATCAACAGCTTTATCTCAACAGGAAATCAAAAGGTTGGCAGTTCCTGCCTGATACAATAACAATTCACATAGTAATTAAAAAAAAAACAACACATTGATTTCCTAGCCTATATACATCTGAATTATTAGAAACAAAGTAAAGCAAGCCACATTCCAGATTTCTGCGGCAAGAAATGCTGCTAATCACTCGCAGGAATTTACTGGCTGAATCAGAAATTGTTAACCACATTCAAATCACATGCTTCACAGTACTCAATTCTGTAAGAATCAACTCCCTGGCAGTTTTGCATGACACATTGGGGGGAAAGCCTTTGGTCATATGAAAAATGATTTTAAACCACCTCTATGTTGTCTGTCACGCAAAGTTCCAATTTAGTGTACTCTAAAACAGAGATGTCCCATAGAATAGAATAGCAACAGAATATGGGCTAAAGGTATCCAAGGTAGCATCCATTCTGAGTTTATACTACATGGCGAATCAGAAATTTTGGGTAAAATTGATAGAAGTTAAAAGGCCTCCGATCTGCTCCTCCCCCCCTTTTTAATAGCTCTCTGAACTGCTGACCACCCTCAGAATAAACATACAATCATAACGTTTAGACCAGCGTCTCACTGACTCCGTCAAAGATCAGAATTCCCCTAGGACAGGGGTAGGCAACCATGCTGGCTCAGGAATTCTGGGAGTTGAAGTCCACGAGTCATAAAAGAGCCAGGGTTGCCTACCCCTGCCCTAAGTAAAGGGAGACATAAGAGATGGAATCTACGTAGCTGAGAGCGATCTGTCTTTCTGGATTTCACACGCCCACATCAGAAGCATCCTGAACTGCACATCTGCACAGGAAGGACCCATGTTAAAACCAGCATGTACACAATCCACACCCCCGAGCTCACACCAAGGACCAGTCCCCCTGTAAAACCATTTCCTTTATTCCCCAGAAACAAATATCTGTTTGTGGGAATAAAATGAATTTCCTTTTTCACAGAACGTCTGGATTTTATTTTTGATTTGTTCTTGCATCGACCCAGTTTGTGAAAACCCCATATTATTCTTTTAACAAAAATGAAAAATAGGCAGAACAGAAAGCTCTGGACTTCTGAACAGTGACCCTGGTAGAAGTGTCATGTTTGACAGATGTCCAGTAGGTCTGATTTGTAGTGCCAGTCCTGGGGTTCACAAAGCTCTATTGGCTTATGTTACTTTTAGCAACAGCACCGATAAATGGCTGTGTTAAAGCAAGAACTTGTGGATGAATCCTCATGATAATTTCAGCATTTTGAGATCAGAAACATGTGACAGATATAACGTATGTGAAGAAGACATGTAAAAATTGGCAACATGAACCTGGTTACCATACTTCATTCTGTGAAACAGGTTAAAAAAAACTGGGCTGGGGATAAGTACTTTAACTGAAAAATGTCTTACAAGTAGATGCAAAGGATTGCAGCTTTGGACTCATTTTCAACTGATCTTATGATTTTCATTTATTTCTAAGAAATTACAATTCTTAGTAAGGGACTGTGTTCTTGAAATAATTTCTCAAGAAGACAAAGTCCCATTTTTGAGGAAAATTATGCCTTGCAATATAAACAACTTCCTTGCAATGCTAACCAAAAGGAGAAAACAAGATCATGACAATGCAATATTACACTTCTCCTAAAATAACTGCAAAATGGTACTTAACTCAGAACTCAAAACATTACTTTACATATCACGTTACAAAATAAAGTCCAACCCATCTGACCCTGTGTTCCACTAATTAACTAATTTCCCTCTTTTCCTATAAAACATAACCTATTCAAGGCAACTTACAAAAAATAAAACAAGACAACAACACTGAATGAAAGCATCAGCGAAAGTAGAACCTGTAACAATAAAAAAAGAAAAAAGAAACACACCAAAACAATGCCATAGTTATCCTGTAGGAATCTCTCTTTGAGGACCCTGTTCCATAGTCTTATGATGTCACTTGCTCTGATGGGAAAAGAAGAAGGAAATGTTCATATACAGGAATAAAAATAAAAAGTAAAGGTGTTAACATAAGAAGCTGGAGCTTTTCTGATAGCCTGAACGTTTAGAGCAGAGAGTTTGTCAACCTTGGCAACTTTAGATGTGTGGATTTCAACTCCCAGAATTCCCCAGCCAATTGCTGTGTGTCAAGTCCACACGTCTTAAAGTTGCCAAGGTTGAGAAGCACTGGTTTAGGGTCAAGGTTAGTACCTTGAATCATGAAGCAAATTGATAGTCAGTGCAGATTGGCATCATACCAAGCAAAAACTACAGGGTTTCTATCTGGATCATCTACACTTCAGGACTACCTTAAAAGTAACCCCATCTACAACACTAATCCGTCTTGGAAATGCTTAGCACATGGAGGGCTCAGTCAAAGTCTGCCTTCTTCTAGAATGGGACTATGATTGTGTGAGAAGATAGCCAAGGTCCACCTGTGACCATTCCAGACTGAGCCCAAGAAATGGTCTGCATGCCGTTGTAAAGCCTCATCATCTTCCAGAGACCAAGTCAGCTACTTTGATGGAAGGGCAGCTGCCAACTCAGTGTTCAGTTCCATGAATTGGCTGGTGCTGGACCAATGGCAATGCCAGATGGATAGTCTACGCCTCCTGCATTTCCATCAGTACTGCTGTTGTCTTAGTTCCAGAGGGATCAAGATATTTCTTCTTGAGCTGTCACCAGCAGAAGACCTTCTGTGGGGTTATTGGTCTGGCAGGAGGGTGGCCTGGATCTTAGCTCAGGACCTGAGCACCACCTTGGACCCTACCCAACATTCATCACAAGGAGGTGCCAGGTCATGTAGCTACCTCCCAGAAAGTGGAAGTAAAGATAGTTGTGCGTGTACCTTTCTGTGAGGAAAGAGTTGGAACTGATATGTATTACACAGAGACACAGTGGAGGCAATTTGTTTGTCAGAGAACAAAGAAGTGTTAAGAATGGCTGGGGTTGTGTATAACTGCTGAGGAAGAGAAGAAACAAAATGTGGATGTAAAAAGGGACGAGGAGAGAAGAGTGTGCATGCAAGCATGTACACAAGATGTGAGACGCAAGCCACCAGAATGTCCAGAGGCCGTGGTCAAAAAAGTAAAAATGCATCAATTTAGTGTGTGCGTGTATAAGAGAGAGAGAGACACACACACAGAGACAGAGAGACAGACAGAGCACATAAAAAAGTGGCACCCTTGTGACCTGCATTTTCTTTAGGCATGTGCTCCACATACCCCTGGAGGTCACCAATGCCATGAAGCTAGAGGAGAGGCAAACTTGGAGGGAACTGCACATCAGTAGGGAGGGCTCTATCAATAGCAGAAGTGCCCAGCTCTTCTTCCCCAGAATGAACAACACCAGCTTGGGAGGGGGGGGGGACTCAGAGATCTCAACAAAGTTTTACCTCATGATGAAAGGAAGGAAAGGATTGTGCACAGATGGGGGGGAGGGGCAGATGAGCTGTGCAAATTCCAAAGAAAACTGAATGAAGGGCAAGGAAGCCACTGAAGAGAGGTCCTGGAGGGCGCAAGGGGCTCTGGGGAGATGGAGGCAGAGGAGGATAATAAAACACTACAGTTTAACAGTGGTATAAACCAGGAAAGAAAGGGTGAGCGGGAAACAGAAAAGGTGAAGCAGAACACCCAGTTATTTGGATGGAGACAGACACTCTTAAGCATAATGAAGTGTGTGTTTTTATAGTTAAAAAACAGAACCCTAACTACACCAATGAAGCTATAAACAGTTTGAAGTTGGTTGGAAACAGAGTAAGAAATTGAACTTTAGAAATAGTTGCCAATACCAGTGTAATATAAGGCAAAGGACAGATGAATAAAAAAGACAAACTTCAAAAAGACAGAGGAGGATATAGTAGTTGCTGGATTAACTTCAGCTCTCATAATAGGTGCAAATACCACCACCTAGTGCGCAATTGATATAAAGCATCTCACAAATGCCAATCAAAGTTGTGCATAGATCCTATTTACACAGAACACAGAATCATAAGGTTAAAAAGATGCTTGGAGGTCTTCTAGTCCTCAAATAATAATCTGTGAGGGGCTGCTGATCAATACAGTCAGGATAAACAGTGGGTGGAGCTGCTTTTTCCTCTCCCTGTAAACCGCTTAGAGCAGTGGTTCTCAACCTTTTTAATGCCACGATCCCCAACCGGTCGTAAGTCGAGGACTACTCAACTGGTGCAGCACTGTTTGCAGAATGGACTTTTGGCGGGCTCAGCAGGGCAGAGACAGCTTGGACAATTCCTATTGGCTTTTGAAAGCCAATAGAATTAGACTCTATTCAAGAGAGTCTATTCTATTGGCTTTCAAAAGCCAATAGAATAAAAGGGAGTAGCACAGCTAAGGAAAAGGGGGAAAAATGGTGGACTGCGTTGTTTGGCGACCCCCGTGAAATGGTCGTTCGACCCCAATGGGGTCCCGACCCACAGGTTGAGAACCACTGGCTTAGAGAGGACTGTAAAGCACTGTGAAGTGGTATATAAGTCTAAGTGCTATTGCTATTATTTTATTCCTACATACATATACATGTATGTATGTTTTAATGTATATTTATATACAGTCTAACCTCACTGGTTCCATCATAATTCTCAGCCCAAAGTTTAAGCAGACAGACCTGCTAACACCTAGAAGCAAGCAAAACTATAACCAGAAGCTTACACAGGTTTGTCAAAAATGGATCATGCTAAATAAATCTTATTTCATTCTTTGGCAAAGTGGCTAAATTAGTGGACCAGCAAAATGTAGCATACGTAGATTACTTGGATTTCAGCAATGCATTTAACAAAGTAGATCACAACCTACTTCTTGGCTAGCTAAAAAAAATATGGGATAGACAGTATCATGACTAGATGGATTTGTACTGTCGACAAACTGCATTTAATGTGTAGTCCTTAATAGAGCTACATCTACATGGAGGGAAGTAAGCCTTGGGGTATCCCCACAAGGTTCTGTTTTAGGCCACATACTCTTCAACTTCTCCATAAAAGATTTAGATGAGGGAATAGAAGGGAAACTCATCAAATTTGCAGATGACACTAAGCTGGCAGTAATAGCAACGTCTCAGAAGCAACACCCCACTCAACATTCAGATGGATCTTAACAGACATGAACACTGGGCCCCATCTAACAAAATAAAATACAATGCAGAAAAAAATAAGGTTTTAAACTTAGACAAGAAAAAACAAATGTACAGGTATAGATTAGGTAAAACCTGGCTCAATAGCAGTATCTGTGAGAGGGGATCGTAGAATCCTAGTGGACAATCATTTAAATTTGAGCCAGCAGCATGTGGCAGCAGCCAAAAAAGCCAATCCAAACCTATATTGTGTTAACAGAATGATAAAATCAAGATCATATTAAGTATTAATATTGTTTTATAAAGCTTTAGTAAGACCACACTTAGAATACTGCATCCAGTTTTGGTCACCATATTATAAAAAAGATGTTGAAACTCTGGAAAGAGTGCAGAAAAGATGTTTAGGAGGCTAGAGGCTAAAACATATGAAGAAGGTTGCAGGAATTGGGTATGTCTAGTCTAGTAAAAAAAAAGGACTAGGGGTGACATGATAGCAGTGTTCCAGTATTTGAGAGGCTGCAACAGAGAGGAGGGGATGAACTTATTTTCCATAGCACCAAAAGGCAGGACAAGAAACAATGGATGGAAGTGAATCAAGGAGAGAAGCAACCTGGAACTAAGGAGAAACTTCCTAATAGTGAGATCAATTAACCAGTGGAATGGCTTGCCATCAGAAGTGCTCCATCAGTTAAGGCTTTCAAGAAGAGACTGGACAGTCACTTGTCTGGAATGATACAGGGTCTCCTGCTTGAGCAAGGGGCTGGACTAGATACAGTGTTTCT